AGCACAGATGGAAAAGGATTTCCCACCTAAAAGGTGGGAAAAGAATCTCCCCAAAATCAAGGAACTTGGGCGCGTGAGGTAAGAGGTTAGAAAAGATTTTGCCTAGAAAAAGAAGCCATCAAACAAGTCAAAATGGGTAGAAAAAGAAATTATTTTCCATTTTCCTAGGAAAACAAGGGCTGTCAAACAGGGCCTAATGTTGAATTTAAAAAGAAATGGGTAATATGAATTTTTGCAATACAGCCACTGTTTTGGAGTGGCAATGTTTAAAAATAAGTTCATTCATTAAATTTAAAGAGTTAAACCCACTCTATATTTTTAATGACAATGATTGTATTTAATAAGTCACGGATTTTAATAATATACCTTTTAAACTATTCAACCTACATTTATATTGATTGATAAATTGAAATATAAAAAATGAAAAATTACAGTCAAGATATCAAATTTTTCATTTAGTTGCAGACTTTTATCAAACATTTCATTTGTACTATCCACGGTACCAAACATTTAAACAACTCGCACCTGAAGTCCAAATTGACAGAAACCGTTAGTTTGACCGTTAGTTGGCCAATAATTAAATGTATGACCAATTGTTGACTAATTTTAAAAGGGCAAATACGTAACTTTATATTTTTTTATATAAAAAAAAAAAAAATCCAACCACCTTCTTCTTCATCCACCCCACACCTACCCACTCCCACGCCATCTCTTCCACCCAAGAAAATGCCATCGTCGAACCTCCTCTCCACCTCCAAATATTCCCCAAGAGACGCCTGCCGACAGTCATAATCATCCCTGCCTAGCCTCCACCATCTCCTTCTTTGTCGTCGAAGCCGCTGCTCCTCCGTCGCCATCGCTCCACGAGCTCGACCCTTTTTGAGTGTCTTGATTTTTCGGCATGCGTGTGTGGCAGAGCCAAATTCTCCTACTGTAGGTGCTAGGAGGAGAAAGCTCCGAATGTGATGGCCTGCAAGGTGACCCCCATAAGGGTGCCAAGTGTGGTGCTTCTGTCATGGAAAAATGAACCTGTACACTGTAATTTTGATTTCCCAGATTTGCGGGGGTGGGGTGGGGTGGGGTGAATAGTAAAGAAGAAGGTGGAAATGGGGAAGCCGTAGAAAAATGAATCCGTAGATTGCAATTCCGATTACTCCGTCGGCACATCGATTCCGACTCAGAGTTCCCATTTTTGGTTTGGGTGTTGATGATGAACAATATTTTCATTTTTTTTATTTAATTTTTTTATATGAAACGTGTAAAGTTAAATTTTTACCCTTTAAAAATTGGCCAACAATTGATCAAACCTTTAATTATTGCTTAACTAACGGTCAAACTAACTATTTATGTCAATTTGGATTTTGGGTGCGAGTTGTTTAAAGGTTTGATATCGTTGGTGGCACAATGAAAGATTTGGGCCAAGTCTGCAACTAAATGAAATATTTGGTACCGCTACTGCAATTTTTCCTATAAAAAAGTTGTGTTAAATAAAATACGAAAAGAAATTAATAAATGTTTCCCAAGAAAAGGAGAATGAAGAGTCGGAATAAGGAGATTGTTAGAGCTTATAAAAATTTTGACTCTCTAAAAATTTAAAGATGATCTCTATAATACTCAATTCATCCTATTTATATATGCTTTGTTTTGTTTTTCACGCAAATTAAGAAATCTTATTTAATTTTATTAAAAAATTAATTTTTGCCAAATACTTTCTTAAATTACACTTATCTATTTATCAATAACTAGTAGTAAATTATTGTTGTAAGTAGTAAAAAAATAAGAGTATATTATAAACGAAAAAAATAAGACATTTTTAATAATGAAATAAAATTATATAATTAAGACAAGAAAATAAAGAATGTTAGCATTTATAAATGGGACGGAAGGATAACATAAGATTTTCTCTATATTAATGAGTTTTTTTTTTTTGTAGGTACTCTTATATTCACACTACCTTTCTTTGTAAATAAATCACATTTTGATTACAGTAAATATCACTAACATTTATTCATTATTATACTTATATCTTTAATTTTTTTTTTCTTTATCACATTCTTATTTTTAGTATTTCATTGATAAAAAAAAGTTTTGTCTTTAAACATAATTTACGTCTAAAAATATTAACGTACTTTAAAATGAGTGTCAAATATTTAATTGCACTTTTCAATATTAATTTTTTTTGCTTATTCATAAATATAATTGACAAATGAGTTTTTTTACTTTATCATAAAGAAAATTTTATAGAAAAACATAATCAGAAACGATTTATATTAATTTGAGAATAAGATTAGTATCGGGAAAAAAAATTTGGAGGATATGTTTGGGCCACATTATTTTGGAAGAATGTATTTTGGAATAATAGATTGATCAAAAATATATGGTTAAAAAAAAATTAATTGATGTTATAAAAAATATTATTTTATTAAAGAATGTGTGGTTAGAGGTGTCGACGGACGTGCCAGCCAGATCCTTGAAAACAGGCCCGTGAAAATGGGGACCGCGGGCCGACCCGTGACCCGTGCAGACGGTTCACGGGCCATGGAGGTGTAACCCACGGGCTTCGCGGGTTGCACCCCCACGGGTCGTGGTTTACCCGCGACTCATGAAAAAAAAAATTAAAAAACACAAAAAAAGTGGAGCTGCAGGCTCCTGCTTGCAGCTTTCCATGCAGGGTCAAATAAAAAAAAAAATTTATTATTATTTTTTTTGTGAGTGTGAGTAAAGGTAAAAATATATATATTTTTTTTTTCAATAACGGTAATATTATTTTTATAGCGGTTATATCATCCCCTTTATCTATAAATTCCAATTTATTTTTACAATTATTTTTACAATATCTTCTCATAAGTTATTATACACAATTTCTTCATAATTCATAGTTCAATCTTCATTTCTTCATACTTGTTACTATCTTACTACGATTTCTTCATACTTGTTACTACATTTATATTTCATTTTTCATACTTTCTTCATACTCAATTCTCACTAGTCACTACTAAACTTTTTAATCCTATTAT